CGCGCTTCCCTTCCGACAGGAAAAGTGAGCGCGTTGTGAGGCACGGACGGAAAAGGACCGGTTCCTTTTAAGGCAACGATATTTAAACCCCAACACCAACGTTATTAAGAGTAATCTTCTGGTTTTTAGTCTCACCTGAGGGGAAAATCCACAGTGGAGAGGCTGAGTGACTTTACCGGCGCCAAAGGGGGATGTAAACTGGGTTGCAATGGCCATTTGCTGAGGGTTTGCAGTCATTTGAGAAACCTACTCAACAGCGTGGGTGATTTCCAAGCAGGGACACGTTTCATTGTGGCAAGTGGGGCTGAGACTGCGGATTTTGGGATGGCAAAGGTTGCAAATCTGCCAGCCCGTGCTCTCGGAGCATCTCCCCTGTCCCAAGGTAGTGGCCAAAAACATCCCATGGAGTCGGGACCCACTGGCTGAATGAAACATCAGGCAAAACCAGAAAGTTTCGGGTTTGTGGGTGTTAAATACCTCATGGTGTTTCTGACAAGAAATCAACCAGACCTGACCTGCCATTTACTGCTGCTGCTTAAAACACCACCTGCCCTTTCAGCAGCTGGAGACCATGTCCCCCTGCCTTATGCTGGCCAAGTGACAAACACAAAGTGAAAAAGGTCTCTGGAGCACTTCCAAAGCAAATACAGACACTGTATGAATTTGTTAATTATGCCCTATTTCCACCCAACTTTCCTCCTCTGCCATTAGCACTCTCCACCCATGGCTCTCCCAGTGACCTGCTGACGAGGCACCTGGCACAACGGAGCAGAGAAAGCAGGGAGCTGCTGCTTCCACCCTCCCTGCCTGCAATATCCTGACTCTGGGTGGGCCACAAGTCTCCAATAAAACAGGAATCCATGAAAAAACAAGAGCAGCACCTCCCCGGCTGGCTTCCCAGCTCCCTCCAGCCGCTCCTCCACACCAGAGCCTGGGCATCCCTGAGCTCAGCACTGCCCTGTTGACAGGAAAATCACCGCTTTACATTCCAGACTTGTCTTAGTATGATTTCTGGCTGAGTGCTGGTTTCTTTAATACAGTCAGTGACTTTAAAACACCTCAAAAGTGTTTCTTGCAGAGGTTTCTGCAGCTGTCACCACAGGCTGTGCGGCATGAAAAGAAAAAGCTCCTATGTTTGCTCTGCTGTGCTCCTGCTGTGAAAAACTATGGAGGCATTTAAGTAATTTAGAAGACAGATTCAACAGCTCTAACCCTGCAATAGCCTCTATGCTTTGCACTCATTCAGGAAAGTTCATGGCTGAATTGAGACCAGCTAATTTCTCTCCCTGCTAAAACATGAGGTGAGCCTAGAGAGACGCAGTTCACTGCTGACATCCCACCACTGTGCCAGACAAAGGGTTTCCAGAGAGCAGACCAGCGTGAGATGCTACTCACCCAACCGTTCTCCACAACACCCCCTCCAACACTCCTGAGTTAAGCCACTGGTCTCACTAGTAACAGTTTTTCACACTAGTGCTTATTGTTCTGGGCCACTCTCACCGTTTAAGGTCTCCAGAGCCATGTGTCTGACAATTACTTTTAGGTTGCTTTTCAACAGCTTTGCAGAAAACATCTACTAAAAATCAGCTGAGTGCTTTTGATTGTATTTTATTTCCAAAGGCAGGAAGATACAAACAGAATGTCCTCCTGGAGTCCACCCTATCCAGGTCTAACTTTCCTTCCCAACTCCACAGCAGTGTGGGATGAGAACAGAGCAGCTGGAAAGCAGCTTGCTCACTTCACTGTCCATTATGTCTGACAAGCCTGTGACAAACTTGAAACAAGCCTTCTTGACCTGACGCCTCCCCTTCTCTCCTCCCCTGCCTGCAGCAATAAATTCAAGCACAAATTCATCCTGCTCCCACAGGCAGCTGCATGCTCCTCAGCACAGATGAGGACGGATAAGAGATCTCGGAGCTCTTCCAGGGAGTCTCATAGGAGACACAGAGAGTCCCCATCTACACAGAGCAAACGAGAGAAAAGGGAGAGCAGCAGAGAAGCTGGCAAAGGAAGGGGAGAAATAAAGCAGGAGAAAGCAAAGGAGATCAAGAGCACCACAGGGATCGATGGAAGGGTGCACACAACCACGGTGGTGGACGTAGATGATGTGATATCTGATGAAGAAATGGAGGCAATGGCATTACTGGACAGCGAGCAGCAAGAGGAAGGTATGGCTTATAGAAGGGAAGGGGCTGGAAAGCAAGCTATGGGTTCTTCGACCCTGTGTGGTCACAGCGCGATTCCGCTCTTTGCACGGTGAATGTCATTACACCTACCTTCCATAGGCACGTAGTTATCCTCAGGACAGGACATGGGAGACTCCAGCCAACTTCTGCAGTCAGTCTAGGCTGATCCGCGCCGTCTAGCACAGCAATGAACTTTGCAACAAGCAATTACATCCCCAGCACCCTTCCTACTTCAGCTCACTACTCCACTCTCTTCCTTTTCTTGCTTGCCCTTCTTTAGGCAGATGGAGTTAGCCTTAATATCAGTTCACAGCCCAAAGAACTGCCTTGCGGGGAAGAACTGTGCACGAGGTGCACACTCATAGCTCCCCTTCCAGATAACCTCCGAGAGCAGCTCCTCTCCAAGCCATGTGTTAGGCAGATTCCCAGCCTGCCGTGACAGGATAGAACATCGTTGAGTCTTTTGGCAACACTCTTTGGACCCAGCATCACCACAGATGCTGTATTACAGGATGTGTATTGTGGGAGCCAGCGTCACTTATCTGCTTCCATGCCAGCAGCTCCGCTGCCCTAGAGTGACACAAAGGTTCAGACTTGCTCCTGTCTCTCTGGGAACTAATTTTTCACAACTGCCTCTCTCTGCCTCAAGTACAGGAGTCTCAGTTAGTGAGCAGTGCTGTGGAGCTAGAGTGCTCATGCAGGTTCTTGGGATCTGAACCTCCCTCAGGACCTTGTGGCTCTGCAGAAAACTCCAAAAGCCAAGGGGCAGGAATGGAAAGGCTAGAAAGGATTAAAACCGGGAGGGATGGAGGAATGCTAACTCCACTGCTGGAAAACATGGTCCCTCCTCTGGGTCTAGGTACACCCAGAAGTAATCTGTTTTCATGCCGTACCTGCAGATTTTCCCTCAGGCAGGAGCACAACAAAGGGTATCCAGACTGAGATGACCCACGCTCACTTTGGGCTGAAATTTGCGGCTGACCACCCCAGCCAGCCTCCAGCACCTTGGCATGACTACTGTAGAGCACAGGGAGCTTTCAGCGGCACCAGTGGCTTGGTCCCACTGCATTATGGAGCTGGGATGCCACTAAAATCCTATTCCGAAAGGACCTGATATACTCTGATAGGGAAGGGCACTTCAGGTGTGCATATTGAAAGCTACCTCTCATTTATAATCTTTCTCTTTGCCCTTATCTTACCTTTACAGATAAGCTTCTGGGATCACTGTTCAGCCAACAAGTTGCCCATTCCAAGCCTTTCAACACTGCTTGGTAGCCACAGGTCTCCAAGCTAAAGGCTGCTCTCTAGTCAAGGCACTATGGAGAAGCATAGCTCAATTTCTGCCAGAAAAGCAGAGATAAAATCTGTCAGACCATCCTGGCAGCTCCTGGGGTAGGGAGTATTCTTGAACACGGCTCCAGAGGGAGCCAAGTAGTTCAACATACTCTGAGTCCAGGCAAAGGACAACACTGAAGCTGATCTGTGCAGGCACTTGTCAGGCCATCAGTATTTCGGGAGCAGTCCTCTCCTAACACAGTCATGTTGGATTTCTCCCTAGGTTTAAAGTCTCCTGGTCTGGGCATCTGTGAGTGGCTTCTGACCATCTTGTCTTTCCTGTTCGTCATAATGACCTTCCCCATTTCTGTCTGGTTCTGCATGAAGGTGAGAATAGTCATGGGGTCTCCCTGGGTTTAGTACCTGGTGTCTGATGTGGACCTACCTCACTGGTTCAGCATGTGTTAGACAGAAGCATGAAGCTGTTTTGGTCTAAGGCCCCATTTATACTTCTTCAACTCATCATTAATTTTGTCTTATCCTCTATCACATGTTGCTGCCGCAGAGGGCTGCACAGGAGTCCAGCCACTGCCTGTCAAACACTACTGCTGCAATACCAGCAGGCAGAGGCTTAGGTTTCTCTTTTTAAAACCAAATTGCAGGTCTGTTCACTTTCAAACACAGCCTTCAGCCTACCCAGCCCAGGGATGCCTGTGTTACAGCAGCAGGGTAAAT